GGGGAGCGCCCAGCCCCGTCCAGGAAACCGCCGGGAAGGGGACCCTGGAGCCCACCGTTCTGGGTTCCCAGTCCGCGCAGCAGCAGCCACGTACCTCGCCCCTTCCGCACCCCTGCTGGATCTGAAAGGAAACAGGTGTGAGCAAAGTTGGGTGCGTGGGTAGGAGGGGCGGGACCCCTGGGAGGTGTTATGCCCACTCCCAACCCATCCCACCTTACATCCTCCAGCTCTCAGGAGGGAAACTCCACCTAGATAGTCAAGGAAGAGAGCGAGCATGAATTAAATCTATGGAGAACAACAGTAATTATAATCCTATTTGAAAGTGCACCATGCGCTTTCGTTTATTCCAGGAAAGCCCCAGCACCCTTCTGAGGTGAACACACCCACGTGGCGGCCCTTGTGGGCCCTGCACAGCCCGGCAGCTGAGGGGCACCTCAAACTGCAGGAGCGGGCTGGGCGCGGTGGCTCACGCCTGTAATCCCAGCACTTTGGGAGGCCAAGGCGGGCGGATCACTTGAGCTCATGAGTTGGAGACCAGCCTGGCCAACACAGTGAAACCCCGTCTCTACTAAAAACACAAAAATTAGCCAGGCTCGGTGGCACATGCCTGTAATCCCAGCTACTCCGGAGGCTAAGGCAGGAGAATCACTTGCACCTGGAAGGCAGAGGTTGCAGTGAACTGAGATCTCACCACTGCACTCCAGCCTGGGCAACGCAGCAAGATTCTGTCTCAAAAAAACAAAACAAAACAAAACAAAACAAAAAACTGCAGAAGCGGGCCCAGAAGGCTGCATTTGGGACAAACTGCTGGAGAGAGGGCAATGCTGGTGGTCCCCAGGCCCATTAGGGAAGTTCTGGGTTAAGATGGCTTAAGCGGTTGGCTCTCCATCCAGGTGGGATGACTGGGGCTGATGCTGTTGCTTGTGTAACATGATTCCTCCTCCTTAAGGATAAGTTAATGAGATGTCCACCAAAGGGCCTGGCATGGACACAGCACATGGCCACAGAGGCTGGTGGGCACTGTGGAATCTTGTCCCCTGGAGAGGCACACAGCCAGGGCAGAACATCAGGGTCAAGGCACTCCTGTTCTGAAGGTTCTAGTAACAGTGCTTAGTAACACCACCATCAATGACTGTCAGGTATCAGGTCTGTTCTGGACGTTAGGCTCTATGGTAAATGTTGGGGAGAAGGGGGACAGGGTAGGGGGCAGCAGTTTTTTGGTGCCCACAGAGGGGACTTGGGTGGCCCTACCTCCATCAGTTTCACAGGCTGCTGGGACGGGGGCTGCTGAGAACTGCTGTTCATTCCTGCAGACTACAGGCTTAAGCCAAGGGTCACAGCCCTTTCCAGGGGCAGGAGGTGACTTTCAGAGCCCGAGGTAGAGGGTGGGGGTTGGTCCTAAAACCTCCTAGAGCAGCAGAATCAGCCCCTTCCTGGTTGCAAATCCAGCTTTTGGCCAGGTGCAGTGGTTCCTGTCTGTAATCTCACCACTTTGGGAGGCTGAGACAGGAGGATTGAGCCCAGGAGTTTGAGACCAGCCTGGGCAACATAGCAAGACCCCGGCTTTACCAAAAATTAAAACTTTTTAAAAATGAGCTGGGCACAATGGTGTGTGCCTGAAGTCCCAGCTACTTGGGAGGATGAGGCAGGAGGATCGCTTGAGCCCAGTAGTTAGAGGCTGCAGTGAGCTATGATTGCACCACTGCACTCCAGCCCAGGCAACAAAGCGAGACCCTGTCTCTGAAACGGAAAATCCAGCTTCCCCTTACACTGCCCGTCTGCAGCTAAGGCAGCACCTGCAATCTGCATGTTAAAGCACTCTCCAGAGGGCAGTGCAAGACCTGATCAAGGTGGAAAGAGTTGCCTGTGGGGCCTCAACTGGTCTGAGCTGGCTGGACAGCTGATCTAGGGACTGCATTTCGGGTTAGAAGGATTCTGGAAACAGGCCTCTGGGATCAGGAAAAGGAGCCTCAGTACTCCCTGAAAGTTCTGAGCCTCTGAGCCAGCCCATTACTTACAGCTGCTGGGAGCAATTTTATTCCAACTTAAAATGTCAGTTCCTGGAATTTTATTATATTAAACTAGTCAAGGATTAAATGATGGAGCTGTCTGATGTAGGGGATAGGAAATGGCATTCTCTGGACATCAGCCCCTCCTGCTTGGCACAGTTGCTCCAGTGGGAACAAAAGCCCTGGGACAAGGAGAGGGGCACATGGCTTCACACTGTCCCTTGGTAATCTTGAGGAAGCTCCTGGTATCTAGGATGAAGGGAGCCTGTCCTACCAGATTACCTGTCTACGCTGACCCACTGACTGCTGTTAGCTACCAGACAAGCACTTGTACTTGTTCCTTTTGCCTGAAACTCTCTTCCACTCCTGCTTCCTCTTCAGACCTCAGTGGAAACTCACATCCTCAGGGAGGCCTTCTCAAAGTCCTCATCCCCTCTCCTGGGTCCACAGCCAAACAAGCCACCATCACCAGCCAGCAGGGAGCTGGGAAGGAGGAAGTCTTGCGAGGATGACACAGGAGGATTTATTCCTAATTGCAGGGCTCGGAGAAGTAATCAGGAGATCCTTGGAGCAGCACGAAGGCAGAAAAAACCAAGGCACAATTTATGCATTCGTTCAATCATTTATTCATTGCACATTTATTGAGCACCTACTACGTTCAGGGCTCTGGCTGGGTCCTGGAGCCACAGCCAGGAATAAGATGTCACCTTCACTCCTGAGGAACTCCTGGTGGGGTGAGGAGACAGACATAGGAGCAGTAACAAATCTGATGGGTAAACAAGGGTTGATGTGATGGAGCCCACAGAGAGATGGAATGTTCAAACCAGAATGGGCCCCTGGAGAGACTCTGTCATCCCTAAAGCTGAGCTTCAGGAAGTCCAGGACTGTCCCCAACTGTGGTCCCGAAGGGATACAGCAAAGCCAAATTCTTGGTGGACAGACGTCTCTGCGTGGGCCTCTGCAGTGGCACCCACCATCTGCCCGGGCTCTGCCCTCCTCTGGCAATGATGCGCACATCGCAGGGCGCCCTCCACACAAAGCCAGCTGCTGCCTGTTCCAGGATGTCATGGCTTTCATTCAAATCTACCAGTGGCTCTGCAGGCGTCAACAAAGCAAGAAGCAAGAATGAGGTCTGCAGCTTTGCATGGGGGCTGGCCAGGGCTCAATGGATTTTTTTGTCTAGAGCCCTGGAAGAGGGGCACCCCGTGGGGGGCGAGCTTTATCCCCCACAATAACACAGCATGACATTTGGAGCACTGGGAAACACTTTAGTCACCAGGCAACTGCATCTTTTCTCCCAGAGGACCTCCTCCCGGAGGAGCTGATTAAAAGTGGTGGCTGCAATTCATATAGCTGGTCCTTGTGAAGCCACAAAGGGCAGCTGAGCCCAGAGATAGCCAAGACGGTCTTCACTTGACTCTCCCACCTTCCTGTCAAAGAGGGCTATGAAACCATACTTGGGCAAGTTAACCTCTCTCATCCTCAGTTTCCCCATCTGCAAAGTGGCAATAACATTGTGAGGGTTAAATGCAGATTCATATACGTAAGGTGATTCATATATGTAAGGTGATTGTGAAGGTCAAATGCAGATTCATATATGTAACATTGTAAGGGTTAAATGCAGATTCATATACGGAAGGTGCTTAATACTGCCTGACACAGTAAGTGCGAGCCAGTGGTAAGCTGGTAAACAAGTTCTCTGAAAAGGGCAGGAGGGGAGGAAGTCCTAATCTGCAGCAGTTGCCAATTTCTGTGTGTAAATACTCCTACCATAGTCAATTTCAAGTTACTGATAATTTAACAATAGGCTTGCAAAATCTCTGAATTTTGTTTTTTAGATACGTGGTCTCACTATGTTGCTGAGGCTAGCGTCGAACTCCTGGGCTCAGAGGATCCTCCTGCTTCAGCTTTCCAGGTAGCTGCGAATACAGGCATGCGCCACCATGCCCGGCTTAAAATCCCTGAATATTTAACCATTTGCTCTTGCAAGTCAGTCAAGACCAGGAAACTACTACCCAGTTGACTGCCATAGGTTCGTTTACTTGTTCATGCATTCACTATTGAGTGCCAGGAGTTTGGACACTACAGTGAAGGAGACAGTGCCTGACCTCAGGGATCCCAAAGTCTGCAAGGAAAGAGATGTGAACAGAACATGGTGTGCTAGCTGGTACCAGTCGCTGCAGGGGCCTGGAGGAGAGGCACCCAGCATATCCCCATTTTATTGATAGAAAAACCAAGATGTTCCCAAAGGATTATAAACCAGAATCAGAACATAGACTTGAAGGTGTCTGAAGAGCAGTTTCTGTAATTCACCTATCCCTTCTAATGGTTTAGCTTGGAGCAACTCCCAAGGCATGGTAATGTTCCAGGAGCAACATGACATTTTTCTTAGCATTTGGGCCACTGACCAAGAGATTTATGGGGACTTCAAGTACCATTGAGACCTCCTTTGCAAAAATTATAACAGAAAGTTATGACACTGAGAGAGATTTGATTTCACCAACCCTCATCTTGCCTCGAACCTCCAAAATGCCCTTGGTCGTTCCTGGGCTTGAGCCAAGCTAACTTTGGGATAAATTTAATTTATAGTTTAAATTATAATAGCCCTTCCCCAAAACTAAGCCACCTTCATAAAACTAATGAAAAGCTACCAGGTAGCCGGGCACAGTGGCTTAAGCTTGAAATCCCAGCACTTTGAGAGGCTGAAGTGGGAGGATCGCTTGAGCCAGGAGTTCAAGACTAGCCTGGGCAACATAGTGAGATCCTGCCTCTACAAAAAAATAAAAAATTAGTTGTACATGATGGCACGTGCCTTTGGTCCCAGCTACTCAGGAGACTGAAGTGAGAGGATCACTTGAGCCCAGGAGTTTTAAGCTGCAGTGAGCCATGGTCATACCACTGTGTTCCTGCCTGGGGGATAGAGTAAGAATCTGTCTCTTTAAAAAAATGAAAAGGAAAGGACACCAGGTTAGGAGGATGAGAGGGGCCTGAATTCCACTAAGACGCAGGTGTAGTTAAATGACAACCAGCCGTTATTCCAGAGGACACAAGATTTGCAACTGCCCCAATTCACTATTGTGGAACCTAAGATTAGCCTTTTGAGATGTCTTTTCCTGCATTTCTGACGACCGGATGGTCCCACCCAGACCCTCAACTCTTGGCTCAGCCTGTCCTATGGCCCCCACCCAGAAGTGGACTCGGTGCACAAGGACCATTTTCCACATCCCTATGACTGCATCCCCAACCAATCAGCAGCCCCCATTCCCCTAGCCCCCTGCCTGCCAAACTATCCTTTAAAAACCCTAGCCTCCAAATTTTTCAGATTGATTTGATTTGACACAGGATGGCCAGCTTCGTGTCAATTAAGCTCTTTCTTTATTGCAATGCCATCATCTCAGTGAATTGGTTTTTGTCTGTGCAGCGGGCAGGAGGAACTTATCAGGTGGTTACATCATCTTGCTTGGCCTCTTAGTGAAGACTGCACCTAAACCACATCAAACAAGCAATGTGTGGTGATGCTCTCATAAAATAGGTCCAGGGAGCGGGAGACCGCACAGGTGGCCCGCGTCAGTGATTTGGCTCTAACACAGATGCTTTTTCTCATAAGATCATTCAGGCTCCTTAGGTTGGTTTCATATGTCTCTTGGTTTTCGTGTCAATGGGATCAGAGATTCATCCGCAATTTGCATTTTGAAATTAAAGTTATCATTTTGATTTTCTTTTGAACAATCTTTTCTCCCCTGAGGCACCCTGATGTTCCCCTGTAGCCGTGGGCACGCTATCGGAGATAGATTCAGATCTGAGTTGAATCCTGACTGCCCGCTCTCTGGCTGTGTACCATTGGGTTGGTTACGCTGCAACTGCAAACCTCAATGTCTTCATCGGTATAATAGGCCTCACAATCCCATCACTGAAGAGTCGGAACAAGGGTGAAATGGCTGGCATAGAGCACACCCTTCCCAACTGTCTGTTCCTTTTTTTTTGGTGGGGGGTAGTTGAATATCAAGGACTTTATAGCCAGCCTGACTCTCCTGTCTCTTCCAGCCTCCCGTCCCTCCCGGCCCCGTGACTCCCAGTGCGACACATCAATGAAACTCACACTCAAATCTCTGTCTGGCTCCCAGTTCTTACAGAATC